AACTTATGCACAATTTTTATTTGAAAAAAAAACTGATGAAAATTTTTCAAAATTTACTAATTAAACAGCGATTATGAAAACGCACAAGGACCCTTAAGGATAACTGTTTGCACAACAGTGGGCGTCAAAATGCTGCTGATGATGATTTACCTTTACAGCAAATGCTCAAACTGTTTTCCTTCAGCCACAATACACGCTCGACATCTTCTTAAAAAAGATCGGGTTATTAAACAAGCGAACCCACGGTTATTAACAAACTCAGCTGCTTCCAATAGTCTTTGCCGTAGCTCAGCTACATTTTGAATCGGCTTGAAATACACTTCTTCTTTTACAGTTCCCCAGTAAAAAAATCTAAAGGATTCAAATCAGGTGATCGGGCTGGCCACGGTATTGTACCAGACCGCCTTATCCATCTGCCTGGAAAGTGCGCTGGGTAGCCATCATGCTGAAACCACATATCCCTGTAAATACTCAGTGGCACGTCCACCAATAAATTTTGTACATGATTTTTCAAAAAATCCAAATAAACTTCAGCAGTCAATGTCTCTGGGATCTCAAACGGACCGATTATTTTACCATTTAAAATTCCTGTCCAATGGTTTATCTTGAAGCGATATTGAGATTCATCTTCTCTCATCAAATGTGGGTTTGCTACGTGCCACTCGTGTAAGTTATGCAGGTTCATGTACCCATCTTTCTTAAATGTGGTCTCATCCGACCATAAAATTTTTTCAAAGAACTGTGGATCTTTCCTGTGTCTTTCTAACATTGTGCGACAAAAAGCAACTCGGGGCTAATAATCCCGGGGCAGGAGAGGTTGAACACTATGTATGTGGTATGGATGAAGCACATCGCGTACTTGCTATTGCACACTTTGATACCGATCAGTACTCCTTCGTTTACTGCGCATCTTTACATGTTCGTGCTTGTTGATTTCGTACTGTTACTAATTTTGGATTCGTGAACTGGACTGTTGATCGCTTGTGATTTGGATTTGGGCTGTTTAATTGCTCTTCAAAACAACATTTGCTTTCCTTATACTATCTTTGATAGTGTGATTGTGCAGTGCCGCTATGTCCGTGTACACCGTACAAGAATATGCTAACATGCACCTCATTTATGGGGAATGCAGATGCAACGCTAGTGCTGTAGCGAGACTTTACTGTGAGAGGTACCTGAATGCAGCTCGTCATCCAGATCATCGAGTGTTCACAAATGTGCACCGCTTACTGTTCTCAGAGGGCCAACTACCAAACCAATCACACGGTGAGGGAAGATCTTTCCTTCCTTACGAAGACGTGGTGCTAGGAGCTGTCGAAGAAGAACCGAGTACTTCAGTGCGTGCAATAGAACTAAAAACAGGTGTGCCCAAAAGTACAGCCCACCGAATCTTGCAAAAAAACGTGCTCCATCCATACCACGTACAGCATGTTCAAGCTCTTCTGCCCCGGGATTATGAGCCCCGAATTGCTTATTGTCGCAGAATGTTAGAAAGACATAGGGAAGATCCACGGTTCTTTGAAAAAATTTTATGGTCAGATGAGACCACATTTAAGAAAGATGGGTACATGAACCTGCATAACTTACACGAGTGGCACGTAGCAAACCCACATTTGATGAGAGAAGATAAATCTCAATATCGCTTCAAGATAAACCATTGGACAGGAATTTTAAATGGTAAAATAATCGGTCCGTTTGAGTTCCCAGAGACTTTGACTGCTGAGGTTTATTTAGGTTTTTTGCAAAATCATTTAGAAAATTTATTGGAGGATGTGCCACTGAGTATTTACAGGGACATGTGGTTTCAGCATGATGGCTGCCCAGCGCACTATGCACTCTCAGTGAGAGAGTATCTCGATCAAAACTTTCCAGGCAGATGGATAGGGCGGTCTGGTACAATACCGTGGCTAGCCCGGTCATAAGTTAACGAGTAATCTTCTAAGTGTTATACCATTTTGGAATCCTTATTAAATGCGCCAACTTTTAAGGTTACTTGCCAAACTCTCGTAGTACATTTTTTTCCAGTACAGCCAGTTAAAGTTGAGCAAAGTTTTACTTTGGAATACTTGGTTGGGAAATAAGTGGCAATTTTTCCTGAACGAGAAAAGTTGGCAGTACGGTTGAGACACCAGTTTGAAGATGCATTATTCATCATTACATTGTAAAAATAAAATCCAAAAAAAGTTAATATTTGTAGTAACAGGAGTTGACAGACTGCCGTAGGGTGTGAAATTTCTATATTTTTTTTAAAGACCTATAATTTTCAAAACACATACATAAAATTTTTTTAAACATTTTTCTGATAGCTGTTATGACTTTGCCTATCACCCGGTTTCGGTTTGACGTCGATTTCTGGGACACCCTGTATATATATCCTTTGTTATATAGATCCTCCAAATTGAGTTTGATAAACAAGGTTCGCCTATATAAAATGATTATTAGATCCATTACTTATGCATGTGCGGCTTGGTTTTTTCTTGCCAACACACAAATGCAAAGTCTGCAAGTGCTGCAAAGCAGAATTTTGCGAACAATTTGCAACGCTCCATGGTATGTCTCAAACGAGACACTACACAGAGACCTTGACATTCCTTACTTGAGGCATTATGTCAAGCTTCAGGCGCAGCGACGTTATAGTCAAGCGGAATCGCACAGCAACCCTCTGTTGCGTGACTCAATGGACTACACAGTTCGTAAGCGTCCAAGGCCACGGCTAGCACTGTAATGAAAAAATAGTGCGAACCTTTAGTAAACTTAAAATTACACTCTAACAAAACCCAATCAAACTTTGTTTAGTTCACCTCAAAATTAATCCGTGTACCAAATCAAAAAGCCTAAGAGTTTCTTCTTAAACTAAACACTTCTGTTTTTCTTTGCTCTTCACTTTTTTTTTCTTCTCCTGCCCGTTCTCTCTTTCCTTGACATTGTCTGGTTTCTGGGCAACCAGGACTAACAGATTCGCCTTACGTACATTAGACAGTGACTAATGGGCAAAGGTCCTAGGGACCGCGCAGACAAACAAATGACGAATAGTGCCATAGGAACGAAGATGTATGAACGTTTGACAAACTACTTGTAGGTTATAGTTGGCAGTGTTGTCACCTCTTTGCGCAACGTTTAAGGCCTTAGAACAACCTACTTCATTTACATTCTCTATAATAGCCTGGATCCACAACCGAGCTGTAATTATTTCGCGTCGATACAGAATACCATTTTTCAATTATCGTAAGTAAACAGAAAGAGAAAATAATCGAGAGAAGAAATTCAAATAAATATTTACCATATCGGAGCTAAAAAGGATCTGAAATAATAAAATCTTTTTCAATTTCATCACCCACTGCTTCGTGTTGTTTTTGCTGTGGACATAAGAATTCGATTCTGACGTTCTCTTCTTTTGAGAGAAAATTCTGATACAGTCTGTATCTAAAGTGAGATCAGAATTTGCAGGAAGGTTTGAGTTGATCGTGTACGAGAAGTGTGTAAAAGCACTTGTGTTAGATAGAGATAGAAGCCGGCCGGCCAGCGCCGCTCTTCATCACGTTGGCCAGCAACGCGAGCACGGAAGGTTGCGGGAACCTGCCGCATAACCTATTTGTTACACCAGTTCCTTGAATCAGGATGCATGCTGGAAATTTTGTTAGGGATTCTTCATGAACATCCGCGGGAACTTTTTCCGGCAGTCCTCTATCCTCGAACGACTCGCCAACAGTAAGCATAACAAACTCGCACTGTTATGAATCGTCAACTTTGAGGGTACTGGTAGATTGTGACTTTCGAGCAATGATCTGCGGCTTCAGGTGCAACGCATTCAGTATGGATGCCATTTTCTACTTTTCCGAAAACTTTGTTGGTGACATCCAGCAGGTTTATTGAAATTTAAACTCCCTACCGCTCTCCAAGCCCACGGTAGACAGATGACATATTCCATGACAATACATCTGTCACGATCATCCTCATTGGAAAACGAAAATATGAAATATAGCGTTTGTTGTGAAGTCCTTAACGAGAGTGGTTGGCATACCGGTGTTCAACTACTTGTTGGAAAAAAATACTAATAGCACTGGACTATCATGAATTTATGGAAACCCTGCCTTGGATCGTACGTGATGCGGTGTTGTCAAGCGAACCAATGATGCAATATTGCAGAATATTCATTTTGACCTAATATAGAGCACCGTTTGGACCAATCCCCACGGGTATTATGTAAAAAACCTATAAAATGTCAAAAAACCTATAAAATGTCATCTTGCAGACTAGGTAGTTCTTAGGGTGCAAACAGTCATTCCACGTTTACTCACTAGGATCGTTGAGAGCGTCCACCTATGGAGGAATGACTCAAATATACGCATTGCTTTATGAAGTCGATTAGTCTGTAATTTTCATCTCTGAGAAGAAAGTTGGTTGAATAGCAAGATCGCATCTGGATGATTGTGTGTATTGGTCTGCATGCGTATGAAAGCAGTGATATTTTCTATGTGAGAAAATCATAACTGAATATGCTGTCAATAAAGTATATCTATTAGCTGTGCCCGACGGGTTATTTATATGTTGTCCTTTCTAAAGACAGATTATGTTCAAAGTTATAAATTACAATTTTTCCCGTTTTTTGTGTTTCCAAATGTGTATAATACACATTTTTTTTTCTGTGACGGGAAAAACGACGACTTAATATTGAAAAATTATATATTTAAGGCAGAAAATTATCGATGAAAAATTTTGAAATCAGTAGGTTATTTTGTACTTCGTATAGCGACAATTAGACCTGCGCACAGTGTGGCGCCCAATGGACAAAATTACTCAAAAACATAATTTTTGACATTAGAATTCTGTTGCTTTTATTATACCATTAGATAGATAAATAGTCACTGCAACACGTAAGTATAGTACTTTAATTAAGTTGGCTGCGATTTACCTATTTTAGCAACTTTAAAGTTAGAGATGTCGAGACCTGTCAAGAAGGCGAAAAATCTCTGTTTTATTGCTCGGGAAAGATATAAATTTTGTGTCGAAATATTTAAATATTTTAACTTTTCCAATATGGCTGGTAATGAGGCTGGTAAGTACATTATACTGATTTATTTAAAATATAATTATAATTAGATAATTTTTTAAGTTAAAGTGACTATTACCGATTTTTTTAATTTTTTTAAACTTTTGACTTTGTTTAGAGTTTTACAAAAATCACCTCCCATCACACTAAAAATTTTTTTATTTATTGTTTATCTGTCCATAGTAAGTTTTGATAAAAAGTTTAAATCACGTCATGCCACGTCTAAGGGAGATATAATTTTTTTTAGGACATGGTGCTATTGTCAGAAATAGAGATTTGATTGATGTGTGGATAGAAGCACCGAGAGGAAATAGAAAACAGGTGGTTTATGAAAAGATATTATCTCTTATTGATATAATAGATGAACCTTCCAAACATCTTAAAAGTAATATTATGAAATGCAGCCAGTTGTTTGGGTTGAAAATGGCAAATAAATGGCAGAAAGTAGGACAATCTCGGAATCGACTTTTACAAAATCAGGTATATTGGCTAGACAAGATTATATATAGAATAAATAATGATTCTGAAGAAAACACATCTTCGGATGAGGAACAAGAACCTCCTTGTCGCTCAGTTGGACGGCCACGGGTGCCATTTGAAGAGGCATCGAAGAAAACAAAACGAAGACGTGTAGCCGAACTAACCACAGACAGATCTGCAAATGAACTTCAATTTGCTGTAAATGTCGTTTCTGGAAGCAATCACAGTGAGGTCTGGCCACAAATTTTTAGTTTTAGTACAGCTGAAGCTTTAGCCCTAATGGTAGATTTGGATATATCCGTAAGAAAGTATTTGCTACTTAGGTCTGTTATTAATGGTAAGGCCCAGAACAATTACCGGTTTGGTTTGTCAACTTTACACTGCTGGATTCGTTTTTTTGAATGCTTACTCCATATTGGATACCGCCTGCCAATTAAATCTTGGCAGGTTCGTGGGCCTGAAAACAAAGCTATAGTCGAAGCAAACAAAAAACGAATCCAAGCAGAGTTCAGAGCCAAGCTGTCTCTAATAGTTGACAAACCAAAACTCGGGTATGGCTCCTCAAATGATGGCAAAACGGCCAGAATTTTCTTCCACAATCCACAAACAAGTTCAGATAGCACAATGGTTGACAGGGAATTAATCGAGAAATTTGCGATCATCTTAGGAGTGTTAGCTAGTGGTTGCGCTATTGATATGGAAAAGTTTGCGTCATTGCTGGAAGAAGCAAGAAATTGAATATCCATCTTTATAAGTGGTACAACATGCCAAACACGGTACATAAGGTCCTTGTTCATGGGTGTGAGATAATTGATGCATTTTGTTTGCCCATTCGAGAACTGTCGGAGGATGCGCTTGAGGCGCGCCATAAAGAGGTTAGGAAACATCGATTATCTCACACCAGAAAATGTTCAAGAACAGATACGAATAAGGATCTCATGCGTGTTCTTTTACTTACTTCTGATCCTTTTATATCCTCAAAAAGAAAGGTGAGCTCAAAAAAATATAAGAAATTCAACGAGGCAGTTCAGAACTATTTAAAAAAGCAAGAAAATGATGATTTACGTATTGACTTAGGTACAATAACGAATGACACAGCACCGAGCAAGAAATCCTATTCCGATTAGAATGGGTATATTTGGTGTTATTTTTTTAATATAGTTTATATTATTATTTCATACATTCATACAGTAATTGTTATTTTGTGAAATATATTTTTTTAAATAAAAACCTAAATATCAATTTCAAATTATACAGATTTATTTTTTACTTGAATTATTCTTATTATTTTTTCAAATAGATAGACAAATTTAATAAATCATATTGCGCCCGCCACAAGTTGGCTACATTATCTTTTAAATCATTCGGTAAAGATCTTGAAAAATAAAAGCGTGATTTTTTGTCTCTCTTAAGAATGCTATAATAATATCCTACCTTATCCCAATTTATTCGAGATCATCAACTTAATATTTTAACTTTTACAAAAAAAAAAATGATTTATGCGAAATGCATCCCGCCTGCTCCCCCACCCCTTCTTATTATTTTAAATAATTTTTGTCATACTTTAGAAAGCTACTTAAATAAGTAATCGCCCTGCGTTTACAGAATTCAAATAGGACCACTAGTTTTTAAGATATCGAATTTTGTCCCTGACCCCTATAAAGGAACACACTGTGCTGCGTTGCTAAGGAAAATTTTAAAGTAATCAAGTAGCTGTCACTTTAATTTTGTGATTTGATTTAAAAATTCTGAACTTAGTGGTTGTTTATAAGTTATTTTTAATACAGTAAAGTAAAAAATGTCTGATTCCCAGTTTTCTTTGACTTCACCGGAATTATTAGAAGTTGCCAAAGTAGCGTTACAAAAATTGTTGCCAGCTAAATCGCGGATTTACGATATCCGCGGAAAAAGAACACATTTTTTTCCCGGGGAAAAAAGTAATTTCATAAAAAGTGACATTTTGTTACCTGTCGACAGAGACAAAATGTCAAACTTTTTTCCCGTCACAGGTAAAACTAATTTAAGGACGCCGCAAATGTCAAAATCCATCAAGACGTTTGGACTGAGCCGGTGAAATGAAAATTTCAAAGTCTTTCAAGCATTTTAGTACACCCAGTGTCACTTGTACTGTAAAATCAAATGTCAAAATTCATGAAACCATTCAAGCTATGGCCCGTAAAATAGAAAACGGCATTTTCGATTAAAAGCCACTACTGCTCTATAAACTATGGTCCAAAATATTTCCTTCTCACGGGGTGTTGAAGTTTCAGGAAAAAAATGGAAATTAATTAATATATTTAGTACGTGGTAAAAGGTAATAAAGTTGCATATTTTTCAATGCAAAAATAATTCTTAGCGTTAACAGTGGCGTGCGTACTGGTGTTGACTCCGATATTTTTTAAGAAAAAAAATAGTACGTTAATGGTTTTTTGCTAAATAAAAATTATTTTTGAATTCCCCGTTTAATTTAAAACAAATGATCTCTCTTGAATTGTTTTCTTTCGACGCGTCATTTTTGAGTAAAAAAATAAAAACCGAAAAAATTAATGTAATAATTGAAGAATGCAATTTAGCAATAAATATCTAGTTGCTCTGGATTATGTCACTGGCTTTTGACATCTGACAAGTGTGTTATTCAAATATACAGTTACAGACTGCAAAATGAGAGGGATAGCGATCTGATCGCCATACCTGCTACTTGGGAACTAGCCATTATTCACTTTATATTCGCTTGTGGTAGCTGTGTGGGTTGCCTAGCTAGTACATAAGTGACAAGTAAGGCCACCAGATTACTACATAAAAAATAACAATCATGGTAAGACAAACTGTTTCCTATTCGTTAAAGTCAGGGCCATCTTTTTACGTGGAGCTCCAAGCCTCGCGCTGAGGAAGCCCTTACTCGCGATAACAGATATGTAAAAAGTTTTGGTTGAATGAAAATGATATAATAATGTACAGATAGATATTCGTGCCTAAAATATCTGACTAATTACTCACGCAATATGTTAAATTATTGATTAATTACAAAACCCACGTGACCAAAATATAGTATGTGAAATATAAATATTGTGTAATATATTATGCTTATTTATGATTATTCATTACAAAAAAAATATTTTTTATACGAAATTATTTATTTCCTGGCAGACCTAAATTTAATTATAATTTTCCTAATGGTTCATTGCTTAAAAAATCAAACTGGAAGTGTTTAGTCCATAGCCATTAATCATATTTCTTTTTTATCTCAATTCTTTACACATAGTGAAATATTGTATACTTACATCAAAAATAAAAATAGACTCAACCTTTGCAAATAAAAAAAATCACGTAAATAGTTGCCGGGTTTTGAGATGAAATGACGAAAAATGCGAAAAACACTTTTTTGCGCGAGAATTTTAAAATACAGCATATTCAGATAAGAGATAGACCGGACATAAACAAGACCACGTGATCATCGAACGCTGTAACATTCGGCAGGGACGTATTAAGAGTCACGCAGTACATATTTTAGATAGTAGATGCTGCTTTGCGTAACTTTGTAGTAAATTAGCACAATTCGATGTGTATACGATTGGTGATGGATATAGGATCATGTGGGGGTGGGGTAAGAAATATATAATGATGTAAATATACATAAGGGTTTCAAAATTTTCGCTTCGATTTCCAGCTTCGGATGCCGCCTGATGTTTGGTGAAATACAGTCGAATATAATCTCAAAATGGCGTTTAAATTAGCCTAAATTAAAAATAATCGTATATCTCTTAAAATTGCTTTTAGAATATTGATTAGTATATTTTGTGATTTCTAGGTAAATATGTAACCAAATTAAAACGGTCAAAACGTAAAAAAATATGCATGGTTGAACATTGTCAGAAAGTAGATTCTTGAATAGGTTTTGCCAAAATGGGTTCAAAAATGTCAATAATTAATTGAAAAATACAGTAGCTTTATAATTACTTATAACTTACCGAATTTGATGAACGACATCTTTTATTGGAAGGATGAGCTTGATGAGCTTTCATCATCGCTACTGCCTGAAGCACCAACGTCAATAATGAATGGCTCGACTTGTTCCTCTAAAATATTGTCCAGTTCCCACATTCTCTTTTCAATACAGTTTTCCCATTTTTGCGCTGTTATTAATTCTAGTGCTTCTTTGAAAAGTCCTTTGTGGTCACAAAATTTAAAAGTTGTATTGTGCTTAGCTATATAATTTTTAACCTCTGCCCATATGAGCTCAATGGGATTGAGCTCGCAATGGTATGGAGGTAAACGGAGCACAGTTTTATTTTGACTTGCTGCCATTTCGTCAATGGCGTATTTTTGATATTCCGCCTTGTGATCCTTGACAATTCTTAATAATTGTACTTTCAGCATTGCTTCTTCAAAGTTGATATTTTTCGAGCGGAGCCAATTTTGAACATCAACTTTCCTTGAAGCCGTTGTTGGGACCTTCTCCATTCTTCGAGAATGATAAGGCGCATTATCCAACACAATTACTGCGTTTTCCTCTAAGTTCGGTAAAATTTTTGAAAACCACTGTTCAAACGATTCGCCATTCATTTCCTCGTGGTAATCTCCAGTTTTCTTAGACTCAAAGCACCACAGACCGTCAACAACAAATCCATCCTCACTGCCAGTATGGCAGATAATGAGCCTTTTCCCTTTACCTGGAAATCGAAGTACTAACTGGTGTAGATTTATTTCAATAAGCGAACCTTTTTCAAATGTTTTCATCACATTCAGCGAAAAAACATTGAGACATGAGTATCAGATTGCTATAATTGGGATTATTTAGTCATATTGAAAGAAAGAATATTGAACGTCGTATGATTACTCATCGCTTCACAATTTAATTTAAAGTTATAAACCTTTAAAAAATGAATGATCAGGAACCTGAAATACGCGCAAATATTAATATTAACAAATTATAACTTTATAAAGCTTAAAGTATGAATTAAAATGATTAGAAATACTAGCAACGGTACACAATATAAAACTTAGTAACTTTTTTTAAGTTTATAATATTCGACATATTTTAAGATTATATTAAAAAATTATTGAAATATCGAAAACACATAAAAACATGGCTTAAAAAAGTTCTAACAAATGAAAATGACAATAAAACATCCACGCATTTTATCGAAAGTTATAAAAGTTTTGTTACTTGTAATATGTTTTATCTGCCCCCTGGAATTAATGTTTAGAACCTTGTTCCCAAGGTTTGAAAAACATCCGATTGTTGTCTATTACTCGTACTTACCTGCTGGATTTTTTAATGCGGTGGACAGTCCATCTAG